AAAAAAACAAAAAACAAAAAACTTAGTACATGTTTTTAGTATCTACTGTTTGGATTCCTTATTGGGAGTTGGTCCATGAACACCCCCTAATTCCATTTTCATCCCTCTCCCTCACTTCCTTCTCCATCTTTCCTGGTCCCCATGCTATTTGAGAAAAATTACTTATATTTACTTTATAACTTTTTCAAAGTAAGAAGAAGGATGAAGGGGTTTTTCTTTGATGGGAAAATTGTACCAGAAGACTCACTTAGATATTTCCCTTTTGCTCTCTTAGGTTCCCTCTGGTCCAGTGGTGACAGTGGAAAGCACTCCCGTCAGATTATTGGGAGGACCTCTGGCTGACACAGATATTGCTATAAAAAAGCTTCCTATTCGAGGAGGAGCGCTGCAGAGAGTGAAAACAGTTAAAACTGTGAATGAGACAAAAAGGAGTATTCCAACTTAGTGTACGTTAGAGACTTTTTGAAATAAATCCTGCTTATAAGCTTTTAGGTAAATATATCTTTATGTATAACTGTAAAGCAAATATTTAAGAATAAATATTTTAGTAAAATTCTGTAAAAATTAAAAGACTATTTTTTGGAAAATATCAACAAATACTATCAAAAAATTTGTCATCAATTTCTTTTGGAAAGACTGTATATTCTCTTAATTAAAATTATGAATCTAATAGATCAATTGGGACTCTTTTAGTTGCATCAGAACTACTCCAGGTACTTTCACCAGAAAATTTGGAAGTTCTGTATCTGGCAGATCTAGGAATAATTTAGACTTGCAAACATGGTTGAATCTAGTGACTGAGCTAGGTTAGTAGGATCATCTCATGCTAGCAGCTTCTGGCTTTTGTTTTCTGAGGCCCATATTCAATAGAAAAGAATGCCTGCCTCTCAACAGTTACCACAACTGCCTATGTATCTCTGGACCCTGGATTGCCTGCTCCTGAGTGATTCACCATGACTTTGGCCATATCTGAGTACTTCCTGTTGGAGCCAGAAGCAGGCCAACACCTGACCCAGTACATGTGGATGTAATGGAGAATCAAAGTAGTGATCTCAGAGACATAAACTAGTACTAGGCAGCAACAAATACATTGGTCAAAGTCAAATAAGTTGTATCTGTTATAAAAAGCAAATGTTAACCATGAGCTAAATAAAAGTGCTAATGCAGATGGTTTTACTCTTATTATAAGCATTACAATTTGTAAGTGTAAATACCAGTCTATTGTTTCATATCTTCTTCCATGGAGAAGGAATGATTTGTGGTGGAGGTACTTTGGTTGGTAGTAGAGATATCTTGTGAAAGAACAGGCAGCAGCAGGAATAATGCTGGATGTAGAGCCAAGTGTCCGTATTATCAGATGCCATTGAAAGTGCTTCTCCTACCAGGAATCCATAAAATTGATTTCAAATCCAGGGATGGGAAAGAGAAATGCCTGTTTACTTACCAAAAAACTATTAAAATTTGAGTCCAGAAGCTAGGCAAGGTATTAGTAAATATATATTAGATGGCTCTCAAGGTGAAGAAAGCCCTGATTTACATTATTTTCCAAATTGTACATTGTAAGTGTATTCTATGACCAATTCCAAGTGACCAGCTTGATGTCGTTGAATGCAGAGTGGGAACAAAATGCAAGCATCCCATTTTCATTACCACACGCTCCATCTGCCTCCTAAACCCAACTTTTCCTACCAACTTTCTCTTCCTCTTTCCTCCTCCTCCTCCTTTCCCACTGTGCACTCCTTTCAGAATTTCTTGTTATCCTATCTATGAGGACAATAACATCTTCAGTGGAGAGAGATGCGGTAGCTGTTATTTCCCTAAGAATGAGTTGCCAATGTGGTCGTTCCTCACCATCAGTTGGATGTCCTCTTGCAGCCCCCAGGGGAAAATGATACAAATCAGCTATTGCTGGGGTTTATTCTCCCTAGAATCCCTTTATCTAGTACTACCCCTTGAAAGGATGTGGGAATTCACAATTTGTTCCTTTCCTCTAGAGAAAGCCCTAAGCGTAAAGATTTCATACAAATGAGAGTTACTGAGAAACAAGAATGGGAGTGGATGGGCATGCATGATGAGATCTTTACACTGAGAACACCAGGCACACATCTGGATTACATCACGTACATACCCAGAATCCATCTGAAGACCGCCTCATTCTATAGACTCAAGTTTCCCAAGAACAGCTGGAAACCATGTCAAATGCATTAGTATAAATACCTCAGTAAATAAGTTATTGAGTAAGTGTAATGAGTGCCTCATCTTTTGCCTGGAGTTCTACAAATAGCAAAAGTATGAGCTCCAATGGAGGAATCCACCCACAGATGACTGGACAAGTCCTGCTCAAGACACATGTGTTAAAGGAGTTCAGATACATTCACTTCATAGTGGTGGGAGATTTCTTCCAAAGCAGTGAGGCATGAATACCAAGACATGAATATAACTAAAGTGTAGAAATCAGTATTATGTGAGTGTGCATCATTTTTTGTATGTAGTACAACCTGCCATCCCCAGACTGCTTAGGGCTGGCTACCATCAAGATAATCTGCGATGTCCATGGTCTTTCTGCTAACACATTAGGAAGACAGCAGGTAAAACGGAGCAGAATAATTTGGCAGTCATTTACCCATCAAATAAATGTAACTTAAGGGACTATTAATGCAGACACTGGCACATGGGTAGAGACTTCACACAAGTTTACATCTATAATCTCAACTACCACACAATCCTTCATCTGTCTGACAGTGCCACAGACCTGTTTTTCTTTCTGTCTCTCACTGTGAAGCTTGAAATTGATCACATTTGTGGGTCTGAGCAAGGCCTGTCCTGAAATAGTGAGCCATATGAGCAAGTTGCTGCAGCTTAGGGAACAGCAGGTGCCCAAGGCAAGCCAAGCAAGCAGGTTGTCTAGGCAGAGGGCTGTCACACAACATCGACCTGCTGAGTGCACAAATAAATGTGCTGTGGTCTTTCAGTGGCTTTTCTCCCATCCGGAGAGAGGGCTCCCCCTTACCTCAGCTTTCTGTATTCCAACTCTTAGCTTTATTTCTTCATCCTCCAGTATACTACACCCCCAAAATTCTGAGAGTTATGTTGGACATAACATTTTGGCACCTGAACACGGACTGGGTGTACAAAGAAATATCAGGTGAGAGGCTATTTCCAGTTCTGCACACAAAAGTGGGAGAAGTACATTAATAGCATCAATATTAATCACAGAAGTCTGTCTTTCTGTCTGTCTCTCTGTCTCTGTCTCTGTCTGTCTCTGTCTGTCTGTCTGTCTGTCTGTCTGTCTGTCTCTCAATTGTTGCTAAAAGAAGCCAGGTAAAAGGGTAGCCCATGAAGCATTTTCAAGATATCTACCCTGCTACTGAACTCCAAGTCCCCAACAATCTAGGACAAATTATACATCTTCATGAAGCTGTACTGCTTAAGACCTGAAATGTGTTAAAACATGCCACTTCTACTCTGGCCCGATATGACTGGAAGGAATAGCTAAAGCGTGTTGAAGTCCAGGGATTATTTATTGTGGAAGGGAAATATTTTTGAATTGTACCCAGATCAGGCAACTCACAATGCCACTCACAATATAAAACACAAAAGTTATTACAAATGACACTTTATGTCCTCCCCCATACACCTGTCAATCTAATGAGTCATGACATATTACAAGATATGGGGACATTTACAGTCAGTCTTAACTCCTTGGTGATTCATCAAATGTTACAACAAGGTTTTCTTCCCACTCAAGGGCTTCATAAATACAATTAGGGAAGGAGAAAATCCCTTCCAGTAAACCCCAAAGATGCCCACTTTGGCAAAGGATACTCACCTTCACATTTTCAGGAGCAGCCTTGATCTCTTCTCTGACCCCACAGATTGCATCCAAGATAACTTGAATGTACGGTGACCCCATTTGTGTTGATTAATGGCTCCTCACTGAGGAGAAGCTTATAGCAGCCCATACACTGGTCAATGAACAGATGTGGTGGAACATCTAAGAGTTTTCCAATAGCCCTAGTAATACTCTATTTTTTATAATAAGTCATGAAGGAGGAAATTACTACAGGATTTGTGGGCAGTTAATCATACCATAGAACCTATGGGAACACTTCAACCAGGATTGTCCAGTCCCGTAGCTATCCCTTTACATTTTTCCCTCATGGTGATTGATTGAAAACTTTTTTTACAATCCCTCTCCATCCTCAAAATAAAAATGTTTTGCCTTTTGCTTACTCTTGATTAATCATCAGGCCCCTATGCACAACTCCCAATGGTGGTGTCTGCCACCAGAAATATAAAATAGTCTAACTCTGTCAGGAGTTTGTGACCGCAGCCATTTTGTCAGTCCATCAGGCTCACCCACTCATCCATTTGCCTCTTATGCATTACATGGATGATTTTTTTTTAGCACATGAATCCCTATCTACCTTG